ATAATATAAATAAATAAATGATAGGCTATTTTTATTTTTTTAATTTCTATTTTCGCTCTCTTCCTAGTCTTTTGGAAGCCAAACTTTATTTAGATATTATTGCCTATATTTTTCTATAAGTTATCACAGCGCATCTATCAGTCAGGCATTCTGTCATGCGACATTCAGACTCTGCTTTTATTTATTTTTTTTAGTAGTAAACAAAAAGAAGAAAAGTTTTTCATGCCTATTTAAAAAGCAACAAACTCCGTTGTTGCATCGTGGCCTTTTATGGTTGGTTTTATTGTTTTTGTACTTCGCTGTTTTGCCTCTTGTTTTCTTTGACTGCACTTTTTTGCGCGTTTTTAATGATAACACACAACAGCATTGTTGTTAGCCACGCCCACGCCCCATGCATTAAGTGCTAGTTGGATGGGAGAAATGAGATGCGATGCGATGCGATGCGACGATGTCTGCGCTAAAGTAAATTCAATTGAATTTTTGAAATTTTTAATGCTAGCATCGCATATTGCACTGACTACGCCCAATTCACAGCCCAAACAGTCAGCCAACCAACCAACCAACCAGCCAGCCAGCCATCTATCTAGCAATCCAGCAATCCAAGAATCCCACGAACCTCAGGCACCCCACCGCAAAACGCGTCGCATTTTTTTATATCCCTTCTGGCTGGCGGCGGGCGTGTGATTTGCTTGCTATCGACATTTTAATGATGTGCCTCGGGGCGCTTTCGCTGCCATTGTGAGAGCTCCATGAGACGGACGTCTTGAATATTGCACGATACCGGGGAAGGAGCCCGGCTGGTGCAAGACATTCCAAGGCATTCCGCTGGCCAACGCCATAGTCGCTAAGCTGTCAGGCTGGCTGCCTTTTGTTAAAAAAAAAAAATAAAAAATAAAAAATAAACTCTGCCATATATATAGATATGTATATATTGTTATATATTTGTATGTATGTACATATATATATAGTTGCAAGTGCAAATGCTTAGCGCAATGATTTGCTATTGAAATGATTTCTCATTCATTTCATTTCGTTTGAGTTTTCTTTTATAATGCCAATGATTTGCCTATCGGGCGTCTAGCGAGAAGGCTAATAACTGGCAATCGCAGCCAGAAATAAATAATAAAAGAAAGCATTTCGATTATAGTTGATTTTCAACTTAACGAAGGTGCTAATACCCAACAAAGTCGTTAAATAAAACACATCTAGGTGCGGGTGCCCGCTGAGGAGCTACCTTAAGGAATAGGCAGAATTGGAGTAAATGTTCATGTCAAGTGCTTTTTATTCTCTTGTAATTAAAAGCAAACTATTTATGAAACATATTTCAGGAAAACACAAATATTTATTTATACTTTAAAGTTAAAGAGAGTTGAAGAGATAGATGGATATACAAATTAGAAACTGCAGATTCTGAGCATTGATAAATATTTTTAAAGCTCCACCAGTATTTTAATTACAACCATTATTAGTGTTTACCGGTAACTAATATCAGCTCGAATGAAACTCCAAAACAAGTATGTACCATAATGAGTTCGGGGAAGTCACCTAGCTCTCATGCATTAAACATTTTCTGAGCTGTAGATAATAAGAAATTCTTTAGGCGCCCTGCTCTTTTTCCAGCCATTTTGTCGAACTACAAATATAAACTGTGTCACAGCGGGCAAAATGAACTTTTGCAAATAAAATGTTGTACAAACGACAAATGTACTTTATTTATAGGCGTTTTTAACAGCAGGCTAACGGCACATAAATAAAATATATTACATAAAATACATATAAATAAAGCGACGGGTGAAGGAAATGAAATAATATAAAGTATACGTCACAGTGGCACAGGAAGCATTACTGCACGAATCAGAGTTGGTATTTTAGACATTGCACACAAATATATGTATATATGTATAAACAAAATATGTTTATGTATATATGTATTCACGCATACATACATATATAAATAAATATGCATTTTTATATTAGGACAACAACAATGGCGTGCTGCGTCTTACCATCCCACAGACTGCAGCCGCCGTTCCCATCAATGGGAATGCCGCTTACACGACAAAATTGACATTTTGCATTTACTTACTTTTACTATACACTTTTTTTGCAGCCACAATAAAATGAGAAGAAAAATTGCATAATAACCCCTTTGAAATGGTCGGATTATCCTTAAATATTTGTGTAAACATTGTAACAAATGCACAGCCTCCATTGTAAGGCCGTGCCGCATCACAGCCCCAGCCCTCCCTCTCTCCGCACTGGCAACTCTCGGCCCTCCTTAAATGGCTGAATGATGAGCAATAGACGGGTCCCTTTACAGTCGACAATGAGTAACATTGTAGCTGGGCGTTTCGACTCGAATGACAGAGGAGGAGAATGCTGAACAGTTAGGTAGGCAGAAAGAGAGAGAGAGAGAGAGAGAGAGAGGGATAGAAAGAGATAGAGAAAGCGTTGAGACGCTTACGCATGCAACAATAGCAATGCAAATGGAGGCGGACAGAGACGTCTTACAGTGCAATCACACACACACACACACATAACTACACGCACCCACATAAACATATTGACAGGACTTTGGTATCGCTTAAGCATGACAGCAGCGAGTAACATGTGCGTAAGCCGTGCTGCTGCTCTACCATATTATAATGATTACATGTGTGTCACTTTACTAAGCGCTGCCAAGAAGGAAACACAACCAACGCCCCCGGGCGGAAGCCTTCGAGACAAGTGACAATTTGGGCGGACGGACTTACCACAAAATTGACTGAACTGACAAAATATGAGCTAAAATGACACTTTTTGAAGATATTCACAAAAGATAGAATCGGATATATGAATTGATATGACTTGGGGCTCAAACAACAGTTAATTTATCAATCTAAATAAATACAGAGCATATCACTTAAGCATATCAGCATAAAAATGACAAGGGTAAGAAGGAAACAAAGAGAGACAGAAAGAGAAAGAAAGAGAGAGAGAGAGAGAGGGAAACAGAGAGAGATAAAGACGAAAGGGAGATAGAGCGAGAGAGAGTAAGACAGAGATGCCTTAGTTGGGAGCGTAATTACTGTGTTTTAAAATAGCTCGAAACATCTAAAAACTCCAATTAAAAATTTAAAAATATATATA